GATACACACCACAGGACACGGTACACACCACAGTAACACACCACAGGACACGGTACACACCACAGTAACACACCACAGGACACGGTACACACCACAGTAACACACCACAGGACATGGTACACACCACAGGACACGGTACACACCACAGGACACGGTACACACCACAGGACACGGTACACACCACAGTAACACACCACAGGACACGGTACACACCACAGGACATGGTACACACATAGACTGTATATATAAAGGATACACACCACAGGACACGGTACACACCACAGTAACACACCACAGGACACGGTACACACCACAGTAACACACCACAGGACACGGTACACACCACAGTAACACACCACAGGACATGGTACACACCACAGGACACGGTACACACCACAGGACACGGTACACACCACAGGACACGGTACACACCACAGTAACACACCACAGGACACGGTACACACCACAGTAACACACCACAGGACATGGTACACACCACAGTAACACACCACAGGACACGGTACACACCACAGTAACACACCACAGGACACGGTACACACCACAGTAACACACCACAGGACACGGTACACACCACTAGCTAACACACCACAGGACACGGTTACACACACAGTAACACACCACAGGACACGGTACACACCACAGTAACACACCACAGGACATGGTACACACCACAGTAACACACCACAGGACACGGTACACACCACGTAACACACCACAGGACATGGTACACACCACAGGACACGGTACACACCACAGGACACGGTACACTCAGAGGGACATGGTACACACCACAGGACATGGACACACACACAGGACACGGTACACACCACAGGACACGGTACACTCAGAGGGGACATGGTACACACCACAGGGACATGGTACACACACAGGACACGGTACACACCACAGGACAACGGTAACACACCACAGGACACGGTACACACCAAAGGACACGTACACACCACAGACACGGTACACACCCAGGACAGGTTACACACCCACAGGACACGGTACACTCAGAGGGACATGGTACACACCACAGGACATGGTACACACCACAGGACACGGTACACACCACAGGACACGGTACACTCAGAGGGACATGGTACACACCACAGGACATGGTACACACCACAGGACACGGTACACACCACAGGACACGGTACACACCACAGGACACGGTACACACCACAGGACACGGTACACACCACAGGACACGGTACACACCACAGGACAGGTTACACACCACAGGACACGGTACACTCAGAGGGACATGGTACACACCACAGGACATGGTACACACCACAGGATATGGTACACACCACAGGACACGGTACACACCACAGGACATGGTACACACCACAGGACACGGTACACTCAGAGGGACATGGTACACACCACAGGACATGGTACACACCACAGGACAGGGTACACACCACAGGACACGGTACACTCAGAGGGACATGGTACACACCACAGGACATGGTACACACCACAGGATATGGTACACACCACAGGACATGGTACACACCACAGGACACGGTACACACCACAGGACACGGTACACACCACAGGACACGGTACACACCACACAAACACATCTCTGTCTCTGTATTCTGTTTACATATCTTCTCTCTCTTTTGATTCTCGGACACATGTTACTGGTACATGCAGGCGGCTGCAGACTAGTTACTAGTACCGGTTTAATACAGAAATACTGACAGAACCACATCCAAAAATCCATTACTCCATTATTAAAAAAAACTGTTAAAATGGCCACTGTTTGATTTGAAGAGTCATTTGTGCCGAGGTGCTTCTTTAACAGTTCTTCTACACTGCTGTGTGAAGTGTGATGAGCCATCTGAAGATCACAGGACTCAGAATGCAGACTGTTCATTTTCTTTACAGTGTGGCTCGTAGAATCCAGTTTGGTCGGTCCTAATGTTCATCCTGTTTAAAGTAATTAGATTGTTTTTCATGTTGCTGATGTTACCACATGTATTGTTAAAATGTATGTTTAGTGTTCTTTATTATTTGTATTTCGTTTTTGTAACACATTGTACAACATGCTTTGGCATAATATGTTTTTGATATGGTCATGCCAATTAAGCTCCATTTAATTTGAATCAGTTTTTCATATAGAACAGTACTGTTTCCTTACTCTTGATCTCTCCTCCCTCAGTATCTGGGATACTTTGGTGATGCCAAAATGCGCTACCAGCGTCTGTATGTGAAGTTCTTGGAGAACGTCAACAAAAAAGATTATGTGAGAGTGTGTTCTCGGAAGCCCTGGCACAGAGCTGCTCTCACGCTGAGGTGAGGACACTTGAGTTTGTGACTTTCATTCAGAGGCAAGGACATAGAGATGAGCTGACACAGCTGGAGCTGCAGATACAGATGTGAGGAATGAGACGTGTGTATTGCTGGGGTAGTTGCTCAAAAGAAGTAATGCATTACTAGTTACTTAAAAGAAAAGAATGCCTTTACTAAATGACTCACTGCTGAAAGTAATGAGTTACACTACTAGTTACATTACCTTTGGACTACTCTAACATCACCTGAGATGCACTATATAACAGATGACGAATAACAATATAAAGTGAAACCTCGTGTATGCCCGGATCAAGGACTACCTCTGTTACTGCTTTGTGTTTCAACAGCCTTAACTTCACTTCACAGAAATTCTTTGTCATACTTAACATAACTTAAAATAAGTTATCCTTACAACCATCTACTGCAAACATGAATTTGTTCAAAATAACATAAATAAATCAAATAAGACTTTGGCCCTCATCACAATATCAGACTGTGATGAGACTTCAGAGAAAGTAACATTGCCTATAACTGTAATTGAACAGTGCATGTAACAGAACAAAGCCTATGTTTGTATGCTAGATGTATTAATCTTACTGGACATGCTCATCACAGAAGTGATTAAACCTCATGAGGAGGAGTCTCTCAAATCGGTCAAAGTCAGCACAATTTGAAATAGTGTACATATCTCCAACCCTCAAAAGACGTCTTATGCCATTCTGCCATTTTTGCTCCGTCTCCTCATTCATGAACTTGCGTGCTAAAGTTACTTCCCTTCATACACCAACATAAGTTAAAACAGGTCAGACGAGTGTAGCCAAGCTAAAACGGACGTTTGATTCACATTATGCTGATTAAAGTAACGCAAGTAACGTGATCATTTCACGCTATGTAAATGTAATGTAATTGTTGCTGTTATCCACAGTAAGGGGTTACATTACTGCGTTACAGACAAATGTAATCTGATTACTGTCACGTGTTGCTTTGCTCCGACACTGGACATGTGTCTAACATGTACCACTGATAACAGCTCACATTGATTGACAGCACTGTGTGTTTACTCTGATGATTGACAGGCGCCAGTCCCTGCCCAAACAGCTGCCCAGCACTCACAATGCCCCCCCGACTCAAGGAGAGAGGGACGACAAAGAGAGGCAGAGAGAGAGAGAGCTGAAGGAGAGGAGGGAGAAGGAGGAGAGAGAAGAACAAGAGAGGGAGCAGAAAGAGAGAGAGAACATGGAGAGGGAAAAAGAGGACAGAGAACAGAGGGAGAGAGAGCGTAAAGAAAAGGAGAGAAGACAATATGAGAGGGAGAGAAAAGAAAGGGAGAGAAGGAATAGAGAGCAGAGGGAGAGACAGGAGAGGGAGAGGAAAGAGAGGGAGCAAAAAGAAAAGGAGAACACTGATAAAGAGAGGGAAAAGAGGGAAAGAGAGAGGATAGAAAGGGATAAGGAGACGGAACGGAGGGAGAGGGAGAAATGGGAGAGAGAGCTGAAAGAGAAGGAGGGTAGAGAGAGGCAGAGAGAGAAGGAGAGAGAGCAGGGAGAGAAGGAGAGAGAGCAGAGAGAGAAGGAGGAACAAAGGGAGCAGGACAAAGAGAGAAAGGAGAGAGAGGAGAGAGAGAGGAGGGGTGCGGTGGAGCTTGGGAGGCTGGAGAAGAAGATGGAGCGAGGGTCCAGAGACAAAAGCTCAGAGCACCCCCCCAAGAAGAGGAAGAAGTGGCTGAAGGAGGTGCCGTCCTCCTCCTCAGAGTCCTCCTCCTCCCCCCCCAGTGATGATGAAGGTGTGTGTGTGTGTGTGTGTGTGTGTGTGTGTGTGTGTGTGTGTGTGTGTGTGTGTGTGTGTGTGTGTGTGTGTGTGTGTGTGTGTGTGTGTGTGTGTGTGTGTGTGTGTGTGTGTGTGTGTGTGTGTGTGTGTGTGTGTGTGTGTGTGTGTGTGTGTGTGTGTGTGTGTGTGTGTGTGTGTGCAGCTAGTTTGAATGACTTTGTATACTGCAGGGTAGCTTGTGAATTTACTCCAGGTGGAACTAAAGTCTGATTTAAGACTTGATTATATTTCACATCATTCATCCACATCTGTGAAGTAACTAAAGGTATTAAATACATGTAGTGGAGTAAAAGTACACCATTTACCTCTGAATTGTACTGGAGTAGAAGTAGAAAGTAGCAAAACATTTAAATACTGAAGTAAAGTCCCTAAAATTGTACGTAAGTGCAGTACTTGAGTAAATGTAATTAGTTACTTTACACAACTGATCACATGTCACTGTCTTCAGGTCTGTTCTAGTCTGTGCTTATGTGAGTTATATGTGCGCCTTGTTAGTGTAAGAAATGATCCCAGGTCAGTTTCTGCTGTGCTCAGGCCTTCAGTGCAGCTGCTCTGTGTTTCAGGAGCTGTGCGGGGGGGGGTTAACAGCAGAGCCATGAGGGAGGTCTTCAGGAGCTACGTGGAGATGCTGGTCAGCACGGCTCTGGACCCAGACATGAGTCAGGCCCTGGAGGACACTGATGGTGAGCAGGCAGTAGGACCAGCAGGAACACAAGGAAGGCTTCAGGAGATGTGTGAACACACTAAGAAAAGACATAGACTGTTGTCAGGGTAACGCCATATCACCAAACTGCTTTTCAGGGACCACACCTGTGCTTTTGTAACTCAGGTGATGCATTTATGAAAACGTGCAGCATCACCCCAGTGAGAGCAAACCATGAGGTGGAACACGTGGGAGATATGGATGAGGCTTACTTCCCTCACAAAAACTGTGATGTTTTATATTTGTGTGGCGTCACTTTTATCCCGCAATAGAAAACATGTTTTCATCTTAATTGAATCATCCCAGGACATTTGTGTCTATGTGGAGACAGAGCCGACAGAAGATCACTGCTGACACAGAGCCGACACTGTAGGACACATTTAAGGAAGTCACATTGACAAATAATAAATACACTTACTTTTTAAGTCCAATGATCTTTGAATTGTTCGTAGGACAGACAGACAATGTTCTGTTTACAGAATAAAGAACATAATACAATTAAAGCAATCCATATGACAAAAATGATCATGTGAATATAAATGAAAAAGATAGTTTCAGCAATGTGTCAAACAGACTCCAGGGGCCGCACAAATTACAATGTTGGCATCAAGCAGGCACAACCACAACTCATGATCCAGATGCAACCATTGGACGTGGCAATCTGCAAGAGAGACATAAATACTCCTGCTGAGATAGAAATACATTAATGGGAGATAGAGAGGACATGAGTACATACAGATAGAGAGGACATGAAGGTAGCGGGGACAGGATGTTGGTTAAAGGCCCCGACAGTCTAAGCAGCAGCAGCAGCAGCATCGCTAAGGGCTGGTCCAGGGCCAGCTGAGCCAGCTCCAACTATCATCTTTACCAAAAATGAAAGTCTTAAGCTGAATGTTGAATGTGGGCTTAAGAGACAGCTGGTTCCTCAGGAGAGGAGCCTGATAGCAGAAGGCTCGGGCTCCTGTTCTACTTTAGGAACTATTCAAGATAAGAGCTGAACTAGTTGGAGGAAAGGGTGCAAGAACACTCTGTCACAATGCTAATCATGTTGCACTCTGAGACCCCTACCTACCTTCACAATCCTCTAACTGGAACCATCATATTCTGTGACAGTAACACAGCAAGCCTATAATGTAATACATTTCTGCATTAAAATAAACTAGATATTTCATATAATTGATAAATGTTTCTGTTTCAGTGAAACTAGAAACAGTTCTTTTTATGATGAAGTGTGTTTTCTGATGAACACCTTTAGAATCTGACTGCATGACAACTACCTTATGCTTTTGATTGAGAGACCTCTAGTGGACATATTGTGTGTTTCAAATCCAAGATTTCAATATAAATAGTTGTTGCACTTTGACTCCTCAGATGAGTTGTACCTCCCACCCATGAGGAAGATTGACAGCCTGCTGAGCGAACAGAAGAAGAGGTTGTTGAGAAGAGTCAACATGAGTGTTCAGCACCAGGTAAACATCTCCGTTTCCTTCTTCTCTTTCCTCAAATCACAGACTGTCTGTTGATCATGAAAAACAACCTATACCTGGGTGTGTGTTTTTATAATGATACATTACAAACATCTGAATGTGTGAGCGCTGCATTCTGCTCTCCTCTCTCCAGGAGTTGCTACACATATTCCCCACAATGATGGCAGACCCGCTGGAATCTGGGGCTGTCGTAGTTCACCTCGGTGGGGAGGGTTACAACCGCAAGACCCTCAACAGGGTGAAGAGGAGCATCAACAAGCAACAGGTCAGAAACAAAGTCCCCCCCCCACAGGGAAGTGCTTCTCACTGCTGTCTAATGCTGAGCTTTTCACATGTGGAACATCAGGAAGACATGAGCTGAGCACAAACAGAGACAGTGGGAGTCACTCTGTTTACCATCAATAACAACGACTTCTCTGAACTGTGCATGGACATTCATCTTTACGTTTCGGAAAAGATTGCAGGATGTAACAAAATGGTAAAAGGTCCTCTCACTTTGATTGTAGGATAAGCGGTTGAGGATCTGTGAAGGTTGGGCGGGGGGGGGGTTTATGAACATAAAAGTAGGCTGATAAGTGAATGGCCCACATATTGGCAGAGGAGAAGAGTTCCCATTGTTCTCCATTGTTACGTGGTGAAGACAGAAATCTGAGACAAAAGAGGAAAGTGAGGAAATCTGTTGTTCGAAGTCTAAGTGAAGTGAGTGTAGACCACCACAGAGGAGGATAACATATCTCATCAAAGAACATCCTCCTACAGTATATAAGTTCAGCTGGAACCCATTGTGAAGTATTATTAAGTTTAACTGCCATGTTTCATTGTGCTTTATCAAATGGTGGGGAAACATTCAGGAGGAAACTCTTCAACCTTGTTTTCTCTCACAACCCTTTTCAGGATCTGAAGCTCTCAATAGAAACGTGTCGGATCTACAGTCTGTATCACTCCCTTCACCACTACAAGTATCACACCTTCCTGCACTGCAAGAAGGAGGTAAGCAGAGCTGCGTGCTAAATGTGTTCAGCTTTGAAGCTGCTACAGCCGGCATATTTACCATGACTCGACACAAATACTGTATGAATGTGTGTGAATATGTTTGAATGTGTTTGGATGAGTATGAATGTGTGTGAATGTGTTTGAAAGTGTTTGAATGTGTTTGAAAGTGTTTGAATATGTGTGAATGTGTTTGAAAGTGTTTGAAAGTGTTTGAATATGTTTGAATATGTTTGAATGTGTTTGAATGTGTTTGAAAGTGTTTGAATGTGTTTGAATATGTTTGAATGTGTTTGAATGTGTTTGAAAGTGTTTGAATGAATGTGTGTCAATGTCAGTGAATGAATGTGTGTGAATATGTGTGAATGTGTGTGAATGTGTGTGAATGTGTGTGAATGAATGTGTGTGAATGTGTGTGAATGTGTGTGAATGAATGTGTGTGAATGTGTGTGAATGTGTGTGAATGTGTATGAATGTGTGTGAGAATGTGTGTGAATGTGTATGAATGTGTGTGAATGTGTGTGAATGTGTGTGAATGAATGTGTGTGAATGTGTATGAATGTGTGTGAATGTGTGTGAATGTGTGTGAGAATGTGTGTGAATGTGTATGAATGTGTGTGAATGTGTGTGAGAATGTGTGTGAATGTGTATCAATGTGTGTGGATGTGTGTGAATGTGTATGAATGTGTGTGAATGTGTGAGAATGTGTGTGAATGTGTATGAATGTGTGTGAATGTGTGGGAATGTGTATGAATGTGTTTGAATATGTTTGAATATGTTTGAATGTGTTTGAATGTGTTTGAAAGTGTTTGAATGTGTTTGAATGAATGTGTGTCAATGTGTGTGAATGAATGTGTGAATGAATGTGTGTGAATGTGTATGAATGAATGTGTGTGAATGTGTGTGAATATGTGTGAATGTGTGTGAATGTGTGTGAATGTGTGTGAATGTGTGTGAATGAATGTGTGTGAATGTGTGTGAATGTGTATGAATGTGTGTGAGAATGTGTGTGAATGTGTGTGAATGTGTGTGAATGAATGTGTGTGAATGTGTATGAATGTGTGTGAATGTGTGTGAATGTGTGTGAGAATGTGTGTGAATGTGTATGAATGTGTGTGAATGTGTGTGGATGTGTATGAATGTGTGTGAATGTGTGTGAATGTGTGTGAATGTGTATGAATGTGTGTGAATGTGTGTGTGAATGTGTGAGAATGTGTGTGAATGTGTATGAATGTGTGTGAATGTGTGTGAATGTGTGTGAATGTGTGGGAATGTGTATGAATGTGTTTGAATATGTTTGAATGTGTTTGAATGTGTTTGAAAGTGTTTGAATGTGTTTGAATGAATGTGTGTCAATGTGTGTGAATGTGTATGAATGAATGTGTGTGAATGTGTGTGAATATGTGTGAATGTGTGTGAATGTGTGTGAATGTGTGTGAATGAATGTGTGTGAATATGTGTGAATGTGTGTGAATGTGTGTGAATGTGTATGAATGTGTGTGAGAATGTGTGTGAATGTGTGTGAATGTGTGTGAATGAATGTGTGTGAATGTGTATGAATGTGTGTGAATGTGTGAGAATGTGTGTGAATGTGTATGAATGTGTGTGAATGTGTGTGAATGTGTGTGAATATGTGTGAATGTGTGTGAATGTGTGTGAATGTGTGTGAATGAATGTGTGTGAATGTGTGTGAATGTGTGTGAATGTGTGTGAATATGTGTGAATGTGTGTGAATGTGTGTGAATGAATGTGTGAATGTGTGTGAATGTGTGTGAATGTGTGTGAATGTGTATGAATGTGTGTGAATGTGTGTGAATGAATGTGTGTGAATGTGTATGAATGTGTGTGAATGTGTGTGAATGTGTGTGAGAATGTGTGTGAATGTGTATGAATGTGTGTGAATATGTGTGAATGTGTGTGAATGTGTGTGAATGTGTGTGAATGTGTGTGAATGTGTGTGAATGTGTGTGAATGTGTGTGAATGTGTGTGAATGTGTATGAATGTGTGTGAATGTGTGTGGATGTGTATGAATGTGTGTGAATGTGTGTGAATGTGTGGGAATGTGTATGAATGTGTGTGAATGTGTGTGAATGAATGTGTGTGAATGAATGTGTGTGAATGTGTGTGAATGTGTATGAATGTGTGTGAATGTGTATGAATGTGTGTGAATGTGTGTGAATGTGTGTGAATGTGTGTGAATGAATGTGTGTGAATGTGTATGAATGTGTGTGAATGTGTGTGTGAATGTGTGAGAATGTGTGTGAATGTGTATGAATGTGTGTGAATGTGTGTGGATGTGTATGAATGTGTGTGAATGTGTGTGAATGTGTGGGAATGTGTATGAATGTGTGTGAATGTGTGTGTGAATGAATGTGTGTGAATGAGTGTGTGTGATGAATGTGTGTGAATGTGTGTGAATGTGTATGAATGTGTGTGAATGTGTATGAATGTGTGTGAATGTGTGTGAATGTGTGTGAATGTGTGTGAATGAATGTGTGTGAATGTGTATGAATGTGTGTGAATGTGTATGAATGTGTGAGAATGTGTGTGAATGTGTGTGAATGAATGTGTGTGAATGTGTATGAATGTGTGTGAATATGTGTGAGAATGTGTGTGAATGTGTGTGAATGTGTGTGAATGAATGTGTGTGAATGTGTATGAATGTGTGTGAATATGTGTGAGAATGTGTGTGAATGAATGTGTGTGAATGTGTATGAATGTGTGTGAATATGTGTGTGAATGTGTGTGAATGTGTGTGAATGTGTGTGAATGAATGTGTGTGAATGTGTATGAATGTGTGTGAATGTGTGTGTGAATGTGTGAGAATGTGTGTGAATGTGTGTGAATGTGTATGAATGTGTGTGAATGAATGTGTGTGAATGTGTATGAATGTGTGTGAATATGTGTGTGAATGTGTGTGAATGAATGTGTGTGAATATGTGTGTGAATGTGTGTGAATGTGTATGAATGTGTGTGAATATGTGTGAGAATGTGTGTGAATGTGTGTGAATGTGTGAGAATGTGTGTGAATGTGTATGAATGTGTGTGAATGTGTGTGTGTGAATGTGTTGTGTGTGAATGTGTGTGAATGTGTATGAATGTGTATGTGAATGTGTGTGAATGTGTGTGAATGTGTGTGAATGTGTGTGAATGTGTGTGAATGTGTGTGAATGTGTATGAATGTGTGTGAATGTGTGTGAATGTGTGTGAATGTGTATGAATGTGTGTGAATGTGTGTGAATGTGTGTGAATGTGTGTGAATGTGTGTGAATGTGTGTGAATGTGTGTGAATGTGTGTGAATGTGTATGAATGTGTGTGAATGTGTGTGAATGTGTGTGAATGTGTGTGAATGTGTGTGAATGTGTGTGAATGTGTGTGAATGTGTGTGAATGTGTGTGAATGTGTGTGAGTGGATGAACTGGAGGGTGACAACATTTGGAAGCTTTCAGCTCAGAAAGCGTAGTGTGGTGATTATGATGCATCACATCATCAGACTGATCGTCCTGTTGAATCCATCTTAACCAACACCAAGGGGGAGCAGACAGGATGTCAGTAAGAGATCTGATGAGGGCTTATTATAATCTGAACCGCCTGGACATAGGGGACCAGGTCAGGTAGGCTAGAGGGGCCGAAAGAGACTTATTTATTTCTATATTTGGGCCACAAAAAGCCTTTGTGAGCACCAAAGCTTACGAACAGTTAAAAAGGAACGGAAGGAGAAGTGTTGGATGGAAAATAAAAGGTTTATTGTTCACACAAATTATAAGTTCCACTCCAGGAACAGGGAAGCCGGGCGGTGTGACCTATGTGTGTGTGTGTGACCTGTGTGTGTGTGACCTGTGTGTGTGTGACCTGTGTGTGTGTGTGTGTGTGTGTGTGTGTGTGTGTGTGTGTGTGTGTGTGTGTGTGTGTGTGTGTGTGTGTGTGTGTGTGTGTGTGTGTGTGTGTGTGTGTGTGTGTGTGTGTGTGTGTGTGTGTGTGTGTCTGTGTGTGTGACCTCCTGTGTGTTGCTGTGCAGACGGACAGCGTGCAGCAGGCTGCTGAGGACCCGGGGCAGGAGGAGGTGGTGCAGCAGTGCATGGCTAACCAGGGCTGGCTGGACCGCCTCTTCTCCTCCTTCGTGGACCTGATGAGCCTCAGTGCAAAGGCCTGAGAGGGAAAGGACCTCGGCCCGGCACCCAACTCACACACGCACCTGCCGTATGCTGGTGGAGCGAGAACAGCCACTGTGGGTTTGTTCCTGGGAGGTTCACTTGTGTGGACAAGTGTTTCTTTTATTATTGAGTCCATTTTAAAGTACCTCTTTATGTATTTAAACATATTGAAATGGATGGTAGGGAACTAAGTGACTATGATGGATTTTTCTCCAAAGTCAAAAAAGGGACCACAAGATCATTTGTCTAAACAGAATACTGACCCATAGGCGGTCTGTAAGTATGTATTAACAACTATCATTTGTATTATTTATACAAGTACATTTCCAAAATGACCATCCAAAAATGGGATTAGTTGCTGTTATAATTTTTTTTAAATGTTTAAAGGGATATATATAAAGCGGCCCGCCTGCAGCGCTTAGCTTCTCCAGGATTGGGTGAGACAGTGAGGGTTCAAGGACTATATGATAGTCTCCTGTTTCTCCCTGCCTCAGTGACAAAGCCCTTGATGGAAGAAATGTACTCAAAACTAAGCTGTGTTCTTACTGTTTGTTCTTCTAAAGACATGGAGGGATTTAATGCCTGAAAAGACGATGAATGAAAAAAATATAAAGCACGACTTTCTTGAAGAAAGTGTGAAGTGAAATGATCCAAAAGCATAATGTAAGTGTTTAATGTTAGTCATTTTATCTGTTTGTTGTTGATGGATATTTCTCATTATTTGCCCTCTCAGAGGATATTCTTGCAGAGCAATTTTGTTGTTTTGATTGTGTAAATATTGTACAGCTACTTCATTCTCTAGTTTCCAGTTGCTCTTACATGAAATCCTGTATTTGACATAATGAAATAAAAAGTGATGATGAATAAGCTACCTTGTGCCAAAGTCATTTCATTACATTTTGTGCAAAGCATAACCACCATAAGTATGCCAGCTGCTAGGCTACTTCATGCAAAGTGATATAGCTTATGCTTATCATTTTGCTAAAAAGTGTGCCTGTTGTTCATTTGAGTAAACTTGAATGCACCATGTGAGAAGAAAAATGGCAACCGCAAATCCACGTTTGGCTGCCTGGACTCAGTATAGTCAGTTGCACATCACCTCCATACCATAACTAAACTTGCATCTAAAATTGCAAATCTGAGATGTAGGCTCCTGTAAATGTGTTAGAACTAGAACCATCTTCTTTTTACCGAGATTCTTTGTGTGCTTTGGTAGGTGGAGTGATACAGCTCTGTATGTCTGTGCCTCCTCCAACTGAAATCCCTACCATTCTAGTCAGATGGACCAAACAGTAAATACTACGGTGTAAAAATGTTACATAACAACATGTTATATAACTTAATAACCGTTTTGAAAACACTTAAGCTGCAACTGACCAATGAGATGGCTGCCATTCTGAGATGTATACATTATTTTACAACCATCTAAAAAGGAACAAATGCTCTAATGTATGCAAGTTGATATTCATTCACAATATACAGCAGTGGCTAGTTTGACAAATGTAAATCTCTAAATACAACCCTTTGCTTTAGAAATGGTCACCAGTATTGTGAAGTATTTGTAACATTTGTTCAGAGAGGAAGTGTGTGTGCAGCTGTGTCAGTGAGCCTGTAAAGAAGAGAGCATCACAGAGGACAGAGGAAGCGGGACATAGAGTCCTATTTCCTGAACATAGAGGAAAAGAATTGGCTAAGTTAGACAAGCTGAGGTTTAGAGGCTGGAGATGGAGGAGGTACCAAGAGCAGAAACAGGAAGGGGAGGAACACAAAGGGGGGGCGGGCAGCGACACACACATCTGGAAATAATGAAGGTGGAAGAGAGGGAAAGACAGGGCAGAGACGCAGATCTGTTCACAAAATAGACTTTTTCAGACAGAAAAATGATTTAAAGTTGTGTAGAAGACTTTTCATCGGGAAAAGCTGGAGATCACAACCTGCCAGTTAAGAACAATCCAGAGGAAGAGAAGAAGGAAACCCTCGCTGGTTCACAGACACATGCAGAGGAGAGAGGAAAAGAGAAGGAGTTACAGACCAAACCAGGAGGAGTGAGACACAGACAGGATTGTAAAGTATTAAGACTCATCTTCAGGTAAAGTCATTTTGATTGACATTTGTAAATATTTGTAGATTTCACATTAGGCTGCCAAATCTACACACACAGTATAATAATGCATGAGTACAAATTAAGCGTTTCTGACAGGTCTGATTCCCACTGGAAACAGACCAGCCTGTTCAATCAACATCCGTTAGGTTGGTGACAGTTGCACAATATGAGAATAAAGCAAACAAATATATATATATGTAAGTAAAAAGTCTGAGGCACAGGAACCAGAAAGGACGTCCTCCACAGCACAGACCTGTAGACTTTGTGAGCCTCACACACGGCCTGACTGCGGAGCGTGGTTCTCTGTGAGAGAGTGCTGCAGTCATGGGAAATGCCTTGCGCTGTATTATTAGGTCTGCTGAGGAGAGGAGGGAGCTTCCTTCCTGTTAGCAGTCTGACTTCCTGTTTGGGGTCAGTAGTGAGGGCCACTTAGTGACAAACTAATCAGATTTTCACTGTGAACATGGTCACATACCCACAAACACACAAACACATGAACACACATGCACATTCACAGTGTTTTAAATAAAGTTACTGAAGATTATTTTTTCAAAACTTGGTTAACAATACAGAAGCGAATACAAAGCCCTTGTAAATGTGGCGGCACGTGGGAGTGTTTGTTTGAAATCCTATTTAACCAAAAGCCAGACAACGCCACCTTGGGAATTGCACCCAAGGACATAATTATTCAAAGTACCAATGAGGCACTCGGGTTCGTAATACTGAGGGGCAGGAGACGTGGTTCCAATTCATCAAATGTTTTATTTGTATGTATTAAAATATCATTAAAAACACATTAAGAACAACATGCACACTGAAAATAAAGGGGACATCTTAATTCAGGGATGCTGAGGCTTACCAGTGGGTGGAGGTGACGAGGGGTGAGAGGGATATGCTGAGGCTTACCAGTGGGTGGAGGTGACGAGGGGTGAGAGGGATATGCTGAGGTTTACCAGTGGGTGGAGGTGACGAGGGGTGAGAGGGATCAAAGTCAATTAAGGCACCCGTGATCACTACTCACTCACACACACAAAGGAACACCAAAATCAGGGGGAGCACAGCACGACACACAAAAAAAAAGGGGGGGGGGGGGGGGGGGGGGGGGTGGACACCACCACCATCTCAGCAACTAAAGAGGGGCAAACAAAACACAATTACTGGGGTAAACAGTCAACACAAATGAATGCAGCAGAAAGCCTACACATCTTCCGGCGCAGACTGAAAGCTCATCTCTTTCGACTGACTGGCTTATCTAAAGCCAGTTGAGTAGCACTTGAAATGTTTTAGCTCTATGAAACCTAATGTACTTATATGATTCTGTTTTCTTCAAGTTTGTATCTTCCTGGTCGAATGCACTTATTGCACTGTAAGTCGCTTTGGATAAAAGCCTCAGCTAAATGAAATATAATGTAAAGTAATGTAATTTTACTTAACTTGAGTATTTCCATTTTATGCTACTCTGTACTTCTACTCCAGTACAAGTCAGAGGTAAATGGTGTACTTTTACTCCACTACATGTATGTAATACCTTTAGTTACTTCACAGATGTGGATGAATGATGTGAAATATAATCAAGTGTTAAATCAGACTGTAGTTCCACCTGGAGTAAATCCACTAGCTACCCTGCAGTATACAAAGTCATTCAAACTAGCTGCACCTTTACCAGCTTTGAGAACACTTTCATGATCAATCATTATAAAACATATCATATATATTATTCTGAAATGGACCAATCTGCACAATGACTACTTTTACTGTCGCTACTTTAAGTATATTTTGATGAGAATACTTTTCTACTTTTACTTGAGTAATATTTTGAATGCAGGACTTTTACTGTAACAGAGTATTCCTACACTCTGGTACTTCTACTTTTACTCAAGTACAAGATCTGAGTACTTGTTCTTCTGAAGAAGGTGAACACAAGTCAGAATCTCCACTTCTCACATCAACCTTAATTACCCAACAAGCTTGGCAGTAACTATTTGATATATCTTTATACAGTTCTGTCTTTATCAGGGTATTGGGTGTGAGACGTGTTTGAGGAGACTCAGAGGAGCCCCTTGTCATTTAGATGAACAGTTAACAGATCAATCCCAACACACATATCATCACACACCTCCATCATTCATGATTGGGTTAAAGAGCCTTTCAGAATTGTACCTTAACACAATGTTTATTGAACACCAACTCTCTCATTAGAAACACAATATAACCACACACAGTGTTGCTCATTCCTCATGATGTAACCCTGGTAACCTGAGAGCACAGCAGCAGGCTGTGGACATGTTGTTGTAACTCTGCTCTGTCTCTTGTGTCTCCTGCAGGATGTCAGTGTCTCGGAGCTGTTTGTGCTGCGTCAAGTATCTGATGTTTGTGTTTAACCTCATCTTCTGGGTCAGTATGTGCTCTGTCCACTGTGTCCTCTCTGTCCACTGTGTCCTCTCTGTCCTCTCTGTCCACTGTGTCCACTGTGTCCTCTCTGTCCACTGTGTCCTCTCTGTCCTCTCTGTCCACTGTGTCCACTGTGTCCTCTCTGTCCACTGTGTCCACTGTGTCCACTGTGTCCACTGTGTCCACTCTGTCCACTGTGTCCTCTCTGTCCACTGTGTCCTCTCTGTCCTCTCTGTCCACTGTGTCCTCTCTGTCCTCTCTGTCCACTGTGTCCACTGTGTCCACTGTGTCCTCTCTGTCCACTGTGTCCACTGTGTCCACTCTGTCCACTGTGTCCTCTCTGTCCACTGTGTCCTCTCTGTCCTCTCTGTCCACTGTGTCCACTGTGTCCTCTCTGTCCACTGTGTCCACTGTGTCCACTCTGTCCACTGTGTCCTCTCTGTCCACTGTGTCCTCTCTGTCCACTGTGTCCACTGTGTCCACTGTGCTCTGTCCACTGTGCTCTGTCCACTGTGTCCACTGTGTCCACTGTGTCCACTGTGCTCTGTCCACTGTGTCCACTGTGCTCTGTCCACTGTGTCCACTGTGCTCTGTCCACTGTGTCCACTGTGTCCACTGTGTCCACTGTGTCCACTGTGCTCTGTCCACTGTGTCCACTGTGCTCTGTCCACTGTGTCCACTGTGCTCTGTCCACTGTGTCCACTGTGTCCACTGTGTCCACTGTGTCCACTGTGCTCTGTCCACTGTGTCCACTGTGTCCACTGTGTCCACAGTGCTCTGTCCACTGTGTCCACTCTGTCCACTGTGTCCACTGTGTCCACTGTGCTCTGTCCACTGTGTCCACTGTGTCCACTGTGTCCACTGTGCTCTGTCCACTGTGTCCACTGTGCTCTGTCCACTGTGTCCACTGTGCTCTGTCCACTGTGTCCACTGTGTCCACTGTGTCCACTGTGTCCACTGTGCTCTGTCCACTGTGTCCACTGTGTCCACTGTGTCCACAGTGCTCTGTCCACTGTGTCCACTCTGTCCACTGTGTCCACTGTGTCCACTGTGCTCTGTCCACTGTGTCCACTGTGTCCACTGTGTCCACTGTGCTCTGTCCACTGTGTCCACTGTGTCCACTGTGTCCACAGTGCTCTGTCCACAGTGCTTCTGTTTAACACTGACTGTCACACACAGTCACAGTCACTCCATTATGTCACTCACAATGTGGGATATCCCAGGTTTGGAGCAATGCATTGTGGTTAATCTGCATTTCCATGTGTTGTGAAGCTTGGAGGCTGCGGGCTGTTTGGCATTGGAGTGTGGCTGTCCTTCACCCAGGCAGAGTTCTCCTCCCTCCCCCTCTCCTTCCCCTCCCTCTCTGCTGCCAACCTGCTGCTGGTCGCCGGCGGCATCACCATGGTGACGGGCTTCCTGGGATGTCTGGGGGCCCTGAAGGAGCAGCGCTGCCTGCTGTTCATGGTGAGGGGCCACAGGAGGGGGCCACAGGAGGGGGTGCAGGGAGA